TATATATATATATATATATATATGGCCATCTTTCACTCTTGTATATGCTCAAAAGTTGGCAAAAATATGTGCTTTAATTTTTATTTTAAAAAAAAGGAAAAATTCTTTTAATAAAAAAATAAGTCGTGCAAAGCCGGCCAAAAATAGCCAATTGGAAATACATTCCCAAGAGATCAAAATCTGATCTTTTGGAGTTGTTCAAATCTCTAAATTTTTCTAAAAAAATTAGATTTTATGCCAACCATTTGTGGTTTTTTTTAAAAGGTTTATAATTTTGTTTTAACTATTTTTTTGTTCTCTCTTGAGATCGTGCAAAGGTTGGTGTGACCTTCAAAGTACATTGAAAGAGAAGATTTATTTGATAAAATGAAACAAAATAAAAATGTACTGTATTTTTTTTTTTTAATTAAAGGTGTGAAATGGTGATGGAAGGGTTGATAAGGTAATGTAATAGAAAAAAATTATACCCAATCATTGTATTATGTGTACACTAAATTTAATTAATAAAAGACATGTGTCAGCTATCATCTTTATAATTTTTTTATCTATCAATTGATCATTAATATATAAATCTTACAATTTAATTATTTGATTTGATATAATATTTGATGCGAATAAGTTCGAGACATCTTTGATGATAGATATGAATAGGCAAAAAAATAACAACTAGGTGATTAGATTATGAGGTAAAAATTATTTTTATAATGTGATTAGTTATTGTCTATGATATGTGTATTAATTTTGAAAGATTGTAGTAGATTTACAAAATAATTTGAGTCATTTTTTTAACAATTTTACCTCAAATAATTTTATACTGAGACTCTGAGAGATAGAAAATCACGAGGTCTATGCAGGACATAATCAAACTATCTCACGCTACATTCTTTCATTTGAAATGATTTATGTATATATGTTACTTTCACATTATGTTACGTGTGATCTTTTATAATCTTGTCTAGTCTTATGTGCACATTTCACATTATAACTGTTCTATAGTGTTTATTGTCTTTCACTTTATATGTTCAATTGTTTATATCTCAATTTTCCTTAATAGAAATTCTGATTTCACCGTCATATAAAATACTTTAATATTACAACAAAAACAAGGTTACGTGGGGATATGTTAAAATTGTTTTTTTAATTATTAGAACAACAAAGAAAAATGGTTAGGTATTGAGACAAAAAGGAACAAGAATCGAACGTTGGACTTACTATGTCGGATTTAGTTAGTAGTTTTGAAGAAATTAGTACTTGTCTTCCATGATCAACTGTCCTTACCTCCAACTGAATTCATCCCCCCCCCCCCCCACCCCCCCACACCCCAAC